GGGGGGATTGAATGAATAAGAAGGGGAAGGAAGGCGGATCCACGTGGTTTAATCGGAGACAGACAGAGATCCCATTGTTCAAAATCAATAAAAAAAAAAAAAAAAAAAAAAAGCAGCAGCAAAAGCAGACCCGGCGAGCGCGCAGGGCGCCGGGGCCGGCGGCGAGCGGGCCGGGGAGGCCGGCCGCCACACGGCCGGCAAAGTTGGCCCCATTAAAGTTTTATTTTCTGTGTGAGCAGGTGTTTGGGACTGGGGGCCAGTTAATTCCGAATACTCCCTTCGCGGGGCAGCCCACCCCAAGGGACCCGGTTAATCGAGAGCCCGAGGTCCGGACGCCCGGGCTGGGGCGGATTTGGGGTCTCGGGCCGGCGGGAAGGGGAAAGCTTTGCATTACACCGAGTGGGTTTGGGGAGGGGGCACGGGGACAAAAGCAGCAGGTTGGGTGGCCGGGGAAGAGGGGGCTTCTTCGCCGCCGGGGGTGCCAGGGCATCTTTAAAGTGTCCCGAAGCCTTGCGCAATGAGAATCCAGCGGATGGGGGACCCTTTCCCCTCCCCTGTACTTTTCTGGGTCGGGGTGCAATTGCGATGCTTCGTGGACAAGCCTGCCTGGGGTGGGCCGGGGTCGCCCGGCTTCCCCGGAGCCCACCACATGCGGGATTCCCCGGAGGAGCCGGCCTGGCCGGGAGGGGCGCGATTTCCTCTCGCGGCGCACCCCTCCGCCCACCCCGCGGCCGCCACTTTGGGGAGGGCAGGGGAGGAAGTGGAGGCCGGGTGGCTCGTCTCCTCCCCTCCCCCCGCGCAGTTTATAACCCGTCCATTGTGCGCCGCTGCCCCGTGTCTCCCTCCAGCCGCGACCATGCCCAGGAAGAAGGCGGCGGCGGCCTGGGAGGAGCCGAGCTCAGGCAACGGCACGGCCCGCGCGGCGCCCAGGAAGCGCGGCGGCCCGGCGGGCAGGAAGCGCGAGCGGCCCGAGCGCTGCAGCAGCAGCAGTGGCGGCGGCAGCAGCGGCGACGAAGACGGCCTGGAGCTCGACGGGGCCCCCGGCGGTGGCAAGCGCGCGGCGCGGCCGGCGGCGGGCAAGGCGGGCGGCGCAGCGGTCGTCATCACCGAGCCCGAGCACACCAAGGAGCGCGTCGTGAGTGAGCCCGCGGGCGGGCGGGTGGGGGCGCGGGCCAGGCGTCGCGGCGCTGGCGGGGCGCGGGCGGGCGCAGGCCGTGGGCTGAATCATCGCCGCCGCCGCCGCGCAACAAAAGGGCAGGCGGGAGGGCTGCGGCCTACGGACCCCACGGCCGCGCGGGCCGTTGGCCGTTGGGGCGCGCGCCCGGGCCGCGGGGAGGGGCGGCCGAGCCCGCGCCCGCCGCCCGCGCGGGGGTCACGCCCCGCCCCCGGCGCCGCGCGGGCTSTCTCTCCCGCCCCTCCCCCGCCCGGAGCCGGGACTTGGGCAACTTCGTTGGGACCGGGACGGCGGCATGGGATCCCGAGCTCCCGAGTTCAGCCCCCGTCCCCGCGCCCGCTTGTGGACCCGGGCGCGGCGGGGAGGGCGGCCGGCGCCCTGCGGGGAGCGGTGGTTCGCGCCGGGGCTTTGAGGTTCCCGCCGCCTCGGCTCCGGCGCCCCGGGGGGGCGGGGCCTGCCGGYCGCCGCGCATGCCCATTGCGGCCTTGCGCGGTCCACGCGCGGAGAAGGCGGGGCGGCTGGCGCCGGCGGGTTGAAGACGCATGCGCAGAGTCCCTCCCGGGCAGTGCGCGCCCCCCACCCCCCACCCCGGGGGGGAGAGGGGCTTGAGCTTTGTTTGCGGCTGGTGGTCCCTGCTGCTGGCCCCGGGCTCCGTGGTCGCCCCCAGTCAAGAAGCACCTCTCATGAGGTGAGTGGGCTTCGCTTCTCCCAGTGGCAGCCACGGCCTACCCATCTTAGGTCCCTGCAAGGCTGCAGAGCSGAGCCCGCGCGCTATCCCCAGTAGAACTTTTGTAAGTTTGGTGCAAGATTTCTTTTTTGGGAGGGGATGTGCATCCCCTCCACGTTCTCAGATGTCCACAGGAAAGAGTAGGAACTTCCTTTTTGGACTGGGAGTCTTAATACTCTGCAGAGGACCCTTACTCTCACAGGTGCTTTTCCCATAGGGCAGGTGAGGGCTAAGGAGAGGATGGAGTGCTTCCCCAGCTCAGGCAGGGTGGGCAGTAGTGCACTTTCTACACCCATCCAAGGGAAGATGAAAGGGCAGGACAGTAGGTGTCCAAAGGACGGCACCCTTAACCCTGCGACTTGAATGTGTGAAAGCGCTTTGTTACTGCTCTCCCAGTGGAAGGGTTAAGGCTGGGCTGTGTTTGAGAGCCTGGGCCTGGCTCACACCAGGGTGGTATAGTGTATCAAGAAAGGGACCCAGGAACTACTTTCCTTTGACAGATCTAATGCAGACACTGCCCCCCATCACAGTGTGTTAGGACAAACTCAGAAGCAAGGCCCAGCAGTCATTCCAGTTTGGATTCCTGTTTATGTACGTAGATAAGTCATATGTAAGTATGCATAGAAACAGGAATTCAAAAGATACATTTCTCTTTAGTCCATTCCCTTGACAAAAAAAGGGGGACTGTTGAGCAGATTCTTTTGGGTTGGTCAGCATTGCCTAGGCTCAGAGAATCCAGGAAGACTGAGACTTCAACAAATGATGCTCTTGTGGAAAACACACCTCGAGTCTCCATTTGCGTTTCCGATGGCATCTATTGAGTTCTGCTCAGGGTCAGCGCTGGGCTCCTAGGGCTCCATTCTGTTCCCACAGGCCTAGGCTGGCACCCTGCTTCTTGTTCTTCTGCCCAGTGTCCCTGGCCTTTCTGTTAGGCAGTTCTGGGGACCTGTCTGCTGCCACGATCACGCAGTCCCTGGCTCACTTCCCTGCTCTGCTGCTTGGAGGGGCTGTGAGAACAGACTCAGACCTGGCGGGACCTGCTGTCTCTGCCTCACCTCCGGGCGCAGAGGACGGCTTGGGAAAGATGGGTTCCCAGTTCAGACTGCTCAGGTGCAGAGTTGCCTTCCATGAAGGATGGGTAGTTTTACAAACATTCTTAGGATTTCAGTCCTGGAAAATGCCCTGTGAGGGCCAGGGGCTTACGTGTAGTTTGTCACATGAGCATTTTGTTCCCCGAGGGTCGTTTCAGGCCTGATTATCATGAGCCATGTAGTCAGCCGAGTCCCGTGGAACAGATGAGTGGCGAAGGTGTCCACGTCTTCATACTTTTTCCAGTTTCGGGTTGCTAAGGTTTTGTGGACCCTGAGACAAATCTGTCTGGTCTGGGAGGTCTGAATAAGTACCTGAAAGCTGAACTGAAGTGTTTTAGTTGATATTCATCGTTGGTGGCCTTCCTCCCTTCAAGAACGCCAGCCTTCTGGGTGGATGGGTGTGACTAAAAGGTAGATTCCGCCTTGCCAACGGGCCTCCTGCACTTGGGCAGGATGTGCCAGAAATTGCTTTGGATCAGAAATCCCATTTTGTTGATTGAAGAGGCTCTGTGCCTGACCAGTCGTCAGGAAGTAGCTCATCCTGGGGGGACACCGGCAGTGTCCACCAAGTTTATCTGAGCTGCCAGGTGTGGCCCGCCAGAGTGGCCTGGGTATAACCCAGGGGCACAACCTTTCTGACTGACCTGCTCTCTTCCCTTCCGACCCTTCCTTCCTTCTCTCCTTCCTGTGTTCACGAGGTTCCCACCTGCTAAGCACGTGCTGTACTGAGCCCCCCGCCCCAGCCCTCCTGACTTGGCATCTGCCTGCTCCTCTGGTCTCTTGGGCAGCGACAGCAGGCACCCGGGTCTTTATCCCACATGGTAGGCTCTTTTGAGTCCAGAACCAGGAGTGACCTTGACTGTGATTTAAGGCTGTTTTGATTAACGTTTCTTATTTAAAATGTTTTGTTTTTCATACAAAGTGGAGGGAAGAATTAACTTAGAGAGAGAAGGTGAGGGGCTTGTAACAAGTAATAGTGTAGCCCATAGGGAAGGCAGTCCCTGTACCTGGGCTGTGAGGACCTAGGCCTGGGAGCCTGGCTGGCAGTTCGMGCCCTCCTCGGGAAGCTACCACTGTCACCGGGGTAGACTTGCTTTCTCACAAACATCTTTTATCAGAAAGGCTGGGGTTTTAGTAAGTGCTAAGCTGGCTTGAAGGGCTCCACTAGCCCTTGACTAAGTGTCCAGGTCACTTGGGAAGTCCCCTTCTGCCCTGAGCAATGGCAGCAGGTTCTGGCCACCTGCTCACAGCTTAAGCCCTCTGGTCTGACAGAGCAGTGTCCTGGGGTGGCCACAGCACTGAAGTCTGGCCCTGGTGACTGCGTCTCAGTGTTGGGTGCTTCGACCTCTGGTGCCTGCTGCACGTGGTGCCCGTGAATCTCTGCCTGCCTGCCTGCAGTGGGGGGCATCCTGGCACCCTCCTCCCGGCCGTCTCTAGGGCCTCAGACCCTCCTGGGTGCTGCCCGCGGCCTTGAAGAGTAGTAGAGAATGAATCAGAGACTTAGGCAGAGAACCCAGGGCCTCTCCTACGGCACCTTGACAGAACCAGACAGAACCACGGACTGCAGGCCTGAAGCACCTCCAGCCGCCAGCTGCACCTGTCTTTAGACAAAGGAGGGAGGTTGGGGGAAACTAGGCTTCCACTCGGGTAACCTGAGACTGGCGAMTGGCGGGTGACCAGCCTCTGTCTCTGCCACAGGGCGATTTCTGCATAATTGAGAGGACAGGCTGCTCCATTCCTGGRCGCAGCCCCCGCTGTGCTGGCTGGGGATGGTCTATAGATGGCGCTTTCCTCCTGTCACAATTGTGACTGAGCACGTGGGGCCCATCCTGTGGGGATGGGTACCTGTGACACCAGGTTCCTTAAGAAATAGAATTCAGCCTGTAATCCCAGCGGCTCGGGAGGCTGAGGCAGGAGGATCAAAGGCAGCCTCAGCAACAGTGGGGCTAAGCAACTCAGTGAGACCCTGACTCTAAATAAATACAAAAAATAGGGCTGGGATGTGGCTCAGTGGCCAAGTGCCCCTGAGTCACTCCCCAGTCCCCCGACCCCCCTCCCCCCAAAAAAGGAGTGAACTCCTCGTGGAGACGTGACCTTTGAAGATGTGTGTGGAGCGGGATGACTGGGCTCTGGAGCTGCCTGTTCTGCCCCAGGCCTTCCCGTGTCAGTTGTGAAAACCGAGGGCTCTCCTCCTGGTGTGCGGGACAGCTGCTGTGCAGAGTTTGGGGGCTGCCTGGACCGAGCACGCTGTGCAGGGCTGAGTCTTTGACTACAGTCTTTCTCCTGTGCTGGGAGTGGAACCCGGGGCGTGTGCGTGCTGGGCAAGTGCTCTGCCACTGAGCGAACCCGGCTTCACCCCGAGTCCCCTTCCTCAGCCCTTTTTATTTTTTTGAGACAAGAGTCTCACTAAGTTGCTGAGGCTGGCTTTGAACTTGCGATCCTCCCGTCTCAGCCTCCTGAGTTGGTGGGATTATAGGTGTGTGCCACCATGTCCGGTTCAATCCCCTCCAATTTTATTCAGTAAAAGGTACCATAACCCCGCTTTTTTTCGGTACCAGGGGTTAAACTCAGGGCCTTTACCACTGAGCCACATCCCCAGCCCTTTTTATTTTTCATTTTGAGACAGGGTCTCACTAAATAGCTTAGGGCCTTGTTAAGTTGCTGAGGCTGGCTTTGAACTTGGCGGTCCTCGTGCCTCAGCCTCCTGAGTTGCTGGGATCATAGGTGTGCGCCAGCACGTCCAGCTCGAATCACTTTTAAGGGTGCATTTTGACATTTCAGAGACAAAAGTGCTGGGGGTGTTACGAGTGTGGCCCAGAATTGGGCCGTGACCTTTGGGCACCTTTTCTCTTTGGTGCTGGGGTTGAACCCAGGACCTTGCCACCTTTCTTTGCTGAAGCTGGTGGAGGTGAGAATTGAGGTGACTGTCTCCCGAGACCCCTGAGCAGAGAGGGAGCCTGTAAAGCCACCTGTGTGAGACCCTGCTGCCACTACTAACGCTGCGTCCTCCCTTGCCTTACTCTCCTGGAGAAGTTGAAGGCTCATCCCCAACGTCCCCAGCTCAACGTCCCCAGCTCAACGTCCCCATGAAAAAGCTCCTGGCATGGAGGACAGCAGACAGGGATGGCGGTGTGATGAACATGTGGAAGTGGCGTGGGAACAGTGCCTCAGGCCCTGAGGACCACAGTGCTTCTGTGGGAAAGTGCAGCCATGGTCCCCAGGATGTGCCAGTTGTGATTCCCTTGTGTGACCTGGTGGCCCTCCCGGTGCAAATCTCTCTCTGTACACCATTTTGCAGAGTGGAGGTGGGGAACACCATCTGGCTGAGTGTTTTGCAAAAGCTATTTAAAAACRAGGCCAGGCAGAGCCAGCGAGTGGCCATGGTGGGTCTGGGGTGACGCACCTTGGAGCGTGGGGGTGCGGGGTGACAGGTAGAGCTGGGACCTCGAGCCCCTGTGTGAAAGGGCCAACACAGAAATGCTGCTTTGTTTCCAGCTGTGGCTGGGCAGCCTCGGGGGGCTAGAAGCATCTGTAACCAGCTAATTTTTTCCTTCTTTCTGTCTCTAGAAACTTGAAGGGTCTAAGTGCAAAGGGCAGCTTCTGATTTTTGGGGCAACCAACTGGGACTTGATTGGTCGAAAAGAAGTGCCTAAACAACAAGGTATGAGAAGCGGTGCCTCAGATGGCTTGTGCCTCCTGGGTGTAGTAGATGTCCAGCGGTCCACTGCGGGGCAGTTCTGGGGACTTTTCAAAAGGCTGGATGGGGCCGGGACGTCCAGGTGTTGATTGAGTGTCAGGTGCTGAGACGTYAGACGCTCAGTCCACAGCGCTCTGCCAGCTGCCAGCCTGTTGCGAGAACTGGGTTGACAGAGACAACAGTTGCTGGAGAGGGGAACAGAGAAGTCCCAAGAAGTAAATATTTGGTCCCCAGTTGACTTCAGAAAATTGGCRTCCAGCCGGGCCTGGTGATGCACACCTGTGATCCCAGCGACTTGGGAGGGAGGCGGAGGCAAGAGGATCACAAGTTTGAGGCCAGCTTGGGCTATTTAGCCAGATTCGGTTGGGGACGTGGCCCTGTGGTAGAGTGCTCCTGGGTTCCATGTGCAGTGCCAAAAAGAGGGAGGAAAAGACCATGTCTTTCTCCAGAAGAAATAGCCCCAGGAGCAGGCTGGCAGGGTGCCGTGCTTTATGGCTTCTTGGTCTCATTTGGAAAGGTGCCCACGGTGCTTCCCCACATGGCTTTGCCCATAAACAAATATTTGCACATTGACACACCCTAGTGCCAAAACACTGGGGCGTTAGAGGCTGTCTTGTCCCATGAGGGTGGCAGGAATCCCAGCAGCSCTCGCAGGTAGCAGCGCACCTCTCAGGGCAATGCCTGGCTCTCAGCACCACAGCCCGTGTCCCCCGAAACCCCAGGTCTGTGACACCTAGCCCAGTGCTGGCAGCTCCTTTGCTGGTCTTGCTTTTTGCTGAGTGGCCCCTGTTAGGACCTTAGAGGACAGAGACGAGTCTGACCCTGACCCTGACCCAGCAGTGTCCTTTGAAGTGCTCCCAGGGGCTCCGGACAACACGCCTCGTCCCATCCTTAACCGGGTGGTGGGATCTGGAGGGCGACGCTGCCCCCACCCCATCTCCTGCTAGTGACGTGCCTGGCACCGAGAGGCCTTGGGCTGCCACCGCAGCAGGAGTGAGGGCTGGCTGCGCTGCGTGCTGGGGTGCAGCTTGGGGGCGGTTCCTGAGCCAGTGGTGGGGTGGGGGCTCCCAGAGACCGTGAAGGACAGGTCGGGGTGGGGAAGGGCGCTGTGGGGGAGTTAGTGCGGGGGCAGAAGCCGGGGTCCTGAACGGGTTTAGGTGCTGAGGTGCCTGAGACGTGATGAAGCGGGGGTGGCGGCGTGGGGCCATGTGGGACCACGGCTCTGAAGGGGAGGCGGCCCCTGGTGCTCCCCCGTGGCAGGCAGGCTGCAGACAGGCCAGCCTGGCCCTGGGGGGGCAGGATCCAGCTCCCAGGCACCAGCCTGGTGGCTCCTGCTGTGTGCAGGGCTCCCTCCCTGCCGCAGGCCTGTGACCAGCCTTCTCCTTCTCTTTGCAGCTGCTTACCGCAATCTTGGTCAGAATTTGTGGGGACCCCACAGGTATGGGTGCCTGTCGGGGGTACGGGTGCGAACGGTGGTTTCGGGGTCGTGTGCCGCCCACAGCCTCCTCATCACCACGGAAGGGAAGCTGTGGAGTTGGGGTGAGTACCGTGCGTGGCGGGCGCGGGCCACTTGCTCCCGGTCACGTGCCTGTCCCTTCCCGAGGCYCGCTCCTCTCTGCAGCCACCCTTCCTCTTCCTGATTCCCGGCCAGCCTCCCTGAACCCCACGACCCCTCGTCCCAGTCGCCGTCTGGTGGCCCCGTTCCTGGAGCCCTGTGTCAGGCGTGCTGTCCCTCAGCCCGCCGTGTGGCACAGGGCCTGTGTCCTCACGCTTGGAGTGCCACTGGCGCTTGTCACGAGACACCCACCGCGTCTGGCTCTGGCTTGCGCACATCTTGGGCTGGGGCTCGTCGCCTCTTCTGAGGATGTCCTGATGGTTGTCCCTGTGTTGGTGCCCTGGGCCCTCCTCCCACTGCCTGTCCCCCTGGGCTGCCTCTCCTTCTTCCAGATCCTTAGTGAAGTGGTCACCAAGGCTACTTCGGCCCCCGAGCCCTTCCAACCCCTGGGCTCTGCTGCCAGCTGGCCGTGTTGGCGTCCCCACCCTTTGCCCTGGCCCCGTGCCACTCGCAGTCCGTGTAATGCGTTTTTATTTTATTTTGGTGTTTCAACTGGTGTTTTTTTTTTTTTTTTTTTTTTTCATGAGCTGCTGAACCAAAGTCCAAATATATTAACATCTGTCGTCTCCCTGCTCCGGGCTAATTTTGTAATTCTGTTGGAAAAAAAACTAACAAGTGTCTGGCCCAGATTTATCCTTCACAGGCTCTTGATGACATGCCGACATTTGCCCCGATTTTGGTTTCTCCCTGGCGTGGGGCGTGTCCCCTGCCTCGTCGTCCGTCCTGCTTCATGCCCTGACACTGGGCTCGGGCTTTCATGTCTGTTCCCGACTTAAAATAGCCCCTCCTGCTCCCCTTGCTGAGCGACACTTAGGCTGTGGTTCCAGAAGCGTCTCTGTGCTGACCCTGTGGGCAGGAGCACCACGTCAGCATCACGTCTGATGAGTCCCAGCTCAAGGGCGAGTGGCCTGGGTCGGGCAGCAGTGCCAGGGGACGTGCTGGCGATGCCCCGTGTCCACTCACTGGTGGTCATTGAACTGGAGGGCTGTAGTACAGTGGCCATAAGCACTGGCCCCCAGGGGAGGGGTCATCCCCGCCACCCTTGGGCCTTGTGTGCGCGCGCGGCAGAGCCCATTGTGTGGCTGCTGTGCCGCTCCCGCCGGGGCACTGGTCCTCAAGCCGCCTCTCTTCTGCTGGGGCGTGTGGGGAGGGCCTCCTTCCTGAATCCACCCCTCCTGCCCCGCGGTCGTCCTCCGACTTTTCAGCCCTTCTAAGCCTCCCGTCTCCCCAGGGCGAGGCGTGTGGTTCTTTGGCCACTGGGCAGGGCCGACTTGCGTCTAGCTCTCCCTGAGGCCCACCTGTGTCCATCTTCGGGTGCAAGTGGTTTTCCCAGAGGCCTGTGCACTGCCGTGGTCCCCTCAGGCCTGTGTGAGTGCAGGGGCCGTGCCGTGGCCAAGGCCACGGGAGCAGTGCGGTGGCTTCGCTGGCAGGAGGGCGTGTGTGTGCAGCAGGCCTTTCCCTTGGCACCAGGGCTGATCCACGGACTTGGGGTGCTGTGAGGGGTGCTCTGGGGGGCAGCTGGGAAAAGTGGAGGGACGATGGGCCCTACCAGATGATCCAAGGTCGATCCCCAGACTCTGGGACGGTGCCCCTTGGAGCCGGTGTCAGCGTGGTCACTGTTGAACTCTGCCCTAAGGAGAAGGACAGGGCGTCAGTGCCTCGCAGACCAGGGCTCGTGTGGCCAGAGTGTGCCTGTGGGTGGCCCCGGGCTGCATGGAGCCCTTCTCGCATTTTCTGGGGTACCAGAGAATTGACGGTGTGCACTGAGTGGGTCCTTGTCACCGTGGCAGGAAGGGGGACCCGAGGGCTGGGGGCGGTGCAGCAGGTACCTGCAGCTGGCCACCACTAGAGGATGGCTTCAGGGGTGGCACCAGGGTCTCACCCTGGTCTCAGAAGCTGCCGCTTTCTCTCCTGGCTGTTGGCTGTGGGTCGGAGGCTCCCTCTGGGTGCATGGTGGGTCCCTGGGTGCTGTGGGGCACCTCTGCAGTGCTGCCTGCCACCCCGCTCCCCCCCTAACCAGCTGTGGTCTGCAGGTCGAAATGAGAAGGGGCAGCTGGGCCATGGCGACACCAAGAGAGTCGAGGCCCCCAGACTCATCGAGTCCCTCAGCCATGAGGCCATCGTGTCGGCTGCGTGTGGGCGCAACCACACCCTGGCCTTGACGGGTAAGTGGCCCAGTGGGTCACCTTGGGGGTTGGGTGGAGTTGCTGCCGTGACGTGGCCTCTGGGTGCTGAGAGCCCCGGTGCTGGGTGGCTTTTGGGGCAGGGAGCCCATCTGAGACTGGGACAGGTGGCATGGCCTTTCTACACTGCACCCCCAGCTTTTGATGCCAAGTGGGGTTTGCTCTGGCCTCCTGCCCCAAGCTCTTTTGGACACTGTTTCACATTCCGCCTGGAAATGAGCTGTTTGTATTATTTTGATGCCTTTGATTCCAAATCTAGTTTAAAACATTCAGCGTTACTTTCCCTTTTGTGATGTTTTTCTCTCTTTGCAGAAACGGGCTCCGTGTTTGCTTTTGGAGAGAACAAAATGGGGCAGCTGGGGCTAGGCAACCAGACGGACGCGGTCCCCAGCCCCGCGCAGGTGTGTGGGGCGGCTTCACAGGCGGGAGTGTTTTAGACGGGTTCAGCCTGTGGTCAGGTCAACGTGCGTCTTGAAAGCCCTTTTCCTTGCGTTGAGATGTCCTATGGGTGGAAGTTTGTCTTCATCTGCAAATGCTTTTGTTTTGACCTTGAGTGCAGTCACCTGCCAGCTGCTCAGAACGCAGTTTCTCTTTGCTAAGACACCGAAGATCAAGTTCGAGGGGTGGGATCCCTACCTCAGAAATGAAGCAGGGTGCCGGCCACCAGCCCGCCCTCAGTGGTGGAGGTGGGAGCCGGCTTTCCTGATCTTGGACAGGAGCGAGCTCGCTGCAGCCTGGGGGTTTGAAGTGCTGTCTTGCTCGCCACAGCTCTGAAGCACAGTCGCACGGTGGCAGAGTGGGTCAGGGCTTTCGTGACAAGGTCTGAGCTCTCGTCCCCTCTCGGCCTCTGTCTCCTGTGCGGGGTGGCAGGTCTGCGTCTTCCTGCCCTCTGTTCCCTTCCTGTCCCGGCCCTTCCAGCCTGACTGGCAGCAGCAGCGAGTGTTTCGATGTCCTCATTGGTTTTCAAATCCCAGGTTAAGTGACAGCCATCACTACCGTTTATGCCTCTAGTGAAGACTCAGTAATCAGTGGCTTGAGGAGCAAATGAGAATTTTTTAAGTGGTTCTTTTTAAAAGAGTTTGTTATTTTTAAAGTTGGAGCTGATCCTGGAGTTGGTGGCTCCAGTGAGGCTTGGAGGTGACAGGGCAAGGTGTGCTCTCAGACTTTGTTCTCCTGCTTGTGGATTTTGGGATTCGTCAAGCAGCAGGATGTGTGAGGCACGCTGCTGGGGCTTTCGGGGTGCAGATTCCCAGAATTTGAGTCCTGCTTCTGTGGCTACTCTCCGGGGGTGGGGTGGGGGTGTTTCTTACCCAGATTCCAGTCTTTGCGYTTTCCCTGTGCTCTGGGCTTTGGCCTTCAGAATGGGGGAGTCATTAACTCTCCGTGAAGCCTGGTAATCTTGTGTCACAGCGTCATGCAGAGAGGGAGAGACTTTTTATCAGTCTTTTGAAAAATGCCTGAAAGTCTACTGTCTTTTCTTTTCAGATAATGTACAACGGCCAGCCAATTACCAAAATGGCCTGCGGGGCTGAATTCAGCATGATAATGGACTGCAAAGGAAACCTCTATTCCTTTGGGTGCCCTGAGTACGGCCAGCTGGGTATGGAAGTGTGTTTTTAAAAGCTCTGTAATCTAACTGTATATTTAGAACCAGAAGCCAGTGGGGGCCGCACACATGTGTTAGGAACGTGGTGATTGATCTCAGATAATAGCTTCTCCCACTAARTGGGCCTGGCGGAGCGGGGAGCCGCCGCTCGCGGGGTGCCAGCGGGTTAGCGGTTTGCCTCCGTGAAGTCGGGGTGCAGCCTGACGAAAGATGCTGTTTTCTGATTTGAAGATCCATTTATGCAAGAATCTCAAAGTTGTAGAAAAAGGAAAAGAGATAGATGCTTTTCTCTGGTTTTTCACACGAGGGGTTCCTGCAGTGTGAGATGGGCCATGTTCCCGCTCCACCCTTGGCAGGATGTGCTTGTTCAAAAGCTGGTCACTCCTGCAGGTCTCAGGAGGTGTGGGAACCCTCCCTTCCAATGTCCCAGCTCTCCATTCTCTCTTCCCTGGAGGGTGCTTTCCCTCCYGGGTGCCTCCTGCCCGTGGCTCCAGCCCCCTCCCAGGAGCTGGAGCAGGCGGTGAGGCGCGGGCGCCCCCTGCTGGCCCCTGGGCTTCCTGCACCTGGTGCAGCACCCTCCGAAGCAGAGAGCAGGTGGAGAGGCGTGAAATAGAAGGCAGAGCGCTGTGTTGGCCTTAGACTTCAGGGGACGGTGACTCTGAAACTAAATATAGCTCCAGTCAGAAGTGCATGAGAAGGAACAGCCCCCCGTGCCCAGCCGTGCAGGTTGCCGCTCTGTTGGGGGAGCGTTGCCATGGCCACCGCCTCGTGCTGCACCCAGCCCCGGGCTCCACGCGGAAGTGCGCATCTGTGCTTCCTGCTACGTGGGCCGCTCCCCTGCTGCCTTGGTTTCGCGGGGTGGCGAAGGCAGAGCAGTTGCTGTATACGGGCCCCACTTAGGACAGAGCTGCTTGGTTTGCACCCAGAGCATCTTGTCTTCTCAGCCGAGCAGCTCGCTTCTCAGCATCCACCATCTCGCCCAATCCAGACGGGTCCCTGTAGAGAGTCGCGTGGCAGCCTCAGGTCTGTCACCAGCAGGCGCTCCCTGGGTCGAGCTATAGGCGCTGCATTTCCCCACCACAGGCCATCACCTCTCTGGAGGTCCCCGTGGCCTGGAGGGGTTGCTGGCCTGTCCCTGGGAAAGGCAGGGTGTGCTGCTCCTTCAAAGGAGGTGGGGGGAACAACAATTCGAAGATGCTTCCCCGCCCTCTGGGACCACCTGAGGGCAGGTGGCGTGGCCCTGGCTCCTGGAGGAGACCCCTCAGCAGGGTGCAGGCGGGGTGGGAGCTGCTGCGCAGTGTCGGCACAGGGCCCAGGGGCGCTTTGCCACTGGATGTTGCCACTGAGCAACATCCCTAGCTTTTTTTTCTTTTTCTTTTTTAATATTTTAAAGTTCTTGGTTTGGGTTGTAGATGGACATTTTTATTTTTGATGTGGTGCTGAGGATCGAACCCAGGGCCTCACACGTGCTAGGCAAGCACTGAGCCACCACCCCATCCCTCTGGCATATTTCATGTTATTTTGAGACAGGGTCTTGCTGATTTGCCGGGCTGGCCTTGAACTTAGGATCCTCCTGCCTCAGCCTCCTGTCACTGGATTACAGGTGTGCGCCACTGCGCCTGGCACTAGTGTTTAGGATGCCGTTCCTTTTGGCGAGAGGCAGTGGCCATGGCCACGCTCCTCCAACATCGGGACCCGGACACCCCCTACCCCTTCCSCCGTCCCGCAGGAGGTGTCTGAGCAGTTGTCTACGAGCTGCACGTCCTGAAGTGTCCACCCTGCGCCATAATGACTTCACATCTGTCTGAGCCACAAAACGGGCAGACTTCTAAGTGGACAGGCACGTTGCAGGGGCAAGAGATGGGCAGTGTGTCAGGGACCCGCTCCTGTCGCACTACCTGCTCACCAGAAGCTGGTCGTAGAACAGTGCAGTCACCCACCTGGACACTGTGGTGCTCATTTTGACTGTGTGTCAAGGTGCTTCAGACGGCGGCGAAGGCTGCATGTGCAACAAGCACGTCGCACGGCCATCACCGTGGGCTGACACGAGAGCGCTGTAGCCGACAGCCGAGTGTGGGCTCAGGGTCAGTTTAAGAGCCTGGGGCTCCGGGCGCTGGCCTCCTCCCCTCAGGACTGCGGGGCAGCCAGGCTCCTGCTAGTGGCGAGTCTTCTTGTAGAAGCACGTGACAGGTGTCACAGCAGTTGTGCTGCTGTCAGTTCGTCCCTGCGGTCACTCCCTCTGATCTAGTCCCCACCCACTGGCTCAGTTTCGTGGGCCCCAGGGGGGCTGTGGCTCCCGCTGGAGGACCTGCTGGGCCGGGGCTGGGGACAGGGGGACCTGTGGTAGCGAATGAGCTCAGCACCGGTCCCCTGCCTCCTGTGCTGCTCCTGACCACAGGCTCTGGTCACCACAGGACACAACTCGGACGGGAAGTTCATTGCCCGGGCTCAGCGGATAGAGTACGACTGTGAGCTGGTGCCCCGGAGGGTGGCCATCTTCATCGAGAAGACGAAGGACGGGCAGATCTTGCCTGTCCCAAATGTGGTGGTGCGTGATGTGGCCTGTGGCGCCAACCACACGGTGAGTGGGGCTGGTTTTCCTGTTTTCTGAGCTTCGCGCTGGTGCAGAGGGTTCTCCATGCCCTGGCCAGGACCAGGTCCAGGTGGACGCCCTGCCTTCCCTGAGGGGCCTGGCCAAGCTCCTGTCCCTGCCTCCATTAGCCTCTGCAGGCTGCCACCTGAAGGGGCTCGATACGGGTGGACAGGGACACCGTCCTCCCGCAGGACGTGTTTCTGAGCTGCAGATGGAGAGCCTCAGTCGGGGCCTCACTAGGGGCAGCTGTTTCCTTGGAGGTTCGCTCACAGACAGATGCAGGGTGGCGCTCTGCTTCGATTTCCTGTTGTGGCACTGGGGGGGTGGCATCTTGAGGGCTGCACCACTGAGCCACCTCTCTGCACCCCCCTCTTTTTTTAAGGATTTAGATCTTTTTTTTAAATTTTTTTTTTTTTAAAGAGAGTGAGAGAGGGGAGTGTGTGTGAGAGAGAGAGAGAGAGAGAGAGAAATTTTTAATATTTATTTTTTAGTTCTCAGCGGACACAACATCTTTGTTGGTATGTGGTGCTGAGGACCGAACCCGGGCCGCACGCATGCCAGGCGAGCGCGCCACCGCTTGAGCCACATCCCCAGCCCCTGTATTTTGTTTCTTTATGTGGTGTTGAGGATTGAACCCAGAGCCTCACATGTGCAAGGCAAATCCCCTGCCACTGAGCCACAGCCACATCCCCAGTCCCTCCAGCCCTTTTTATTTAATTTTTAGTGTTTTATTTTGGTTACTGGGAATTGAACCCAGGGGTGCTATACCATTGGGCAACATTTACAGCAAACACTGCCCCCACTTTTTATTGAAACAGGGTCTTAGTAAGTTGCTTAGGGCTTCACTAAGTTGCTGAGGCTGGCCTGGAACTTGTGATCCTCCTGCCTCAGCCTCCTGAGTTGCTGGGGCTGCAGGTGTGCCCTGGCCTGTGCATGTGTGTTAGTGTCTGGAGTCCACTTCCTTCCCTCGGGATGCTCTTCCCCATGGTAGGACATGGATTAGGTTAGGATCTGACAAGGAGGTGGTTTAGTTCTTGCAAATCCAGAAACTGAGGTTCTATTTTATATAGTGTAGTCTGGGAAACGAGGTTAGATTTTGTTAAAGAGCTTTTTGTTGTTGTTACTGAGGATTGGAACCCAGGGGTGCTTAACCACTGGACCACATCCTCAGGGCTCCCCCTCCCCCCATTTTTTAGAGACAGGGTCTCGCTGAGTGCTGCTTAGGGCCTTGCTAAGTTGCTGAGGCTGGCTTTGAACTCATGATCCTCTTGCTTCAGCCTCCCAAGCTTCTGGGAATATCATGCCTCGCCACACCCATCTGTTGAACTTGACCTAAAAGGCTCTTATCTGTTGTTTACTTAGAGTTTATCGCACTGGGCTGGGCAGTGGACCAGGCCTTGGCACCCTGGGCAGGCGTTGCTCCCAGAGCACGCCCCAGCCCTGTGCTGCTGAGCAGGAAAGGAGAGATCCCAGACAGTGGTGATTGCTCCYGTCACCAGGGCCCAGGTGCGGGGAGCGCAAGGACGGTCCAGGACAGGCAGCCTTCCCTCCTGCTCTTCCTGCAGCATAGCTGTTATTTTAAAAGGAAATGGGATGTGCTGGCCTGCGGTCTGCAGACGRAGCCTTCTTGCTTCTGGTGAGGGGAGATCTGCAATAAAAACAGGGTCCCTGGCAGTGCAGGCTGGCCTGAGCCCGCGTGCCACCCCTGGCCTGCTCCAGGCGCCACCTCCCTGTGGCTGCAGGCAGGTGTGGACGGTCCTTCTTCCCTTTGCTGTAACTGCTGCTGCAGGCTCTCCTACAGACATGGTGACCCCGTCACCTCCTGGGAAGGCCTGGTGGCTCAGCCCGTGCCCCTCTCCTTGCAGCTGGTTTTGGACTCCCAGAAGCGTGTCTTCTCCTGGGGCTTCGGTGGCTATGGCCGGCTGGGCCACGCGGAGCAGAAGGATGAGATGGTGCCGCGCCTGGTGAAGCTCTTCGACTTCCCGGGGCGAGGGGCCTCCCAGATCTACGCTGGCTACACCTGCTCCTTTGCCGTCAGCGAAGTGGGTTAGTGGTGTCCTCGCGCCTGTCCCTGGGGTGGCGGTGTCCAGAGCCTGGGTTTGGTTTTCCCCTCCTTGTAGATCACTGCTCCTGTGGGCACCATGTAGCCACTGTCCTGTGCTGAGACCCGCACTTCACTCTGTCCCCGGTGTGGTCTGGCGGGCTGCGTCGGCTCCTGAGACACTTGTTCACGGTGACATCTCTTGTCTGCCTCCAGGTGGCCTGTTTTTCTGGGGGGCCACCAACACCTCCCGTGAGTCCACCATGTACCCGAAAGCAGTGCAGGATCTCTGCGGCTGGAGGATCCGGAGCCTGGCGTGTGGGTAGGTGGCAGTGTCTCCCGCACGTGTCACATGTTCCTCCCTCCCCAGGGTATCTGACACAGCCTGTGGGTGCCTGCTGACCGTCGGTCACCCTGTCCAGGCGTGAGGTACAGCCGGGGTGACGAGTGAGGGCTTGGGGTGCCAGGACAGATGCCCCCTTCGTTGTCTTCACGGGAAGAAAAGTCATTTTAAAGGTTTTGTTCTCAGAAGCAGCACAGGAGGGGTGGTTGCGCTCTCGGGGGGCAWGGGGAACCGCCCTTAGGTGGGGTTCTCGTGCTCCCAGGCCCGGCCGTCCTCTTCCTGGCTGGACTGTTAGTGGCGGGTGGTGTGTGGAGAGGGGCSGTGTGGACGGGTCTGTGGGTACAGACCCCCCAGGGGTTCCCGTGGGTGGAGGTCTGTCCCTTGGGAGTGGGCCACCACCTCCTCCCACTGTGGCCTCCTGCCCAGGGTGTGCTTCCCACCTTCCTCTGAGCCCCCACACCCAGTCAGAGTGGGCCACAAGGCCCCCCGACTTTGGCTCCTGGCCCTGTGAGGGGCTCTGGGCCTTGCTGAGGCACAGTGTCCTGTGCAGGGTGATCTCTGGGCTCAGGAGGAGCCCTCTGCTCCCTGGCGTGCAGCGCGGGGTGGGCATGCCGCGGGGGCACCAGGCGAGGCCCCCTGCCCGGTTGGGACGTGGCGGAGGGTGGGTGGTGACGGCCTCTGCCTTTTTGCAGGAAGAGTAGCATCATCGTGGCGGCGGATGAGAGCACCATCAGCTGGGGCCCATCGCCGACCTTCGGGGAACTGGTGAGTCGGCGCCCCCGGGGAGAGGTGGCCCCCAGGCCGGGCGAGCACCTCCTGCACGGAGGCAGAGAACGTGGGTGCGGTGGTCTTCCRAGACCTCTGGGTCCCGTTAAGCATCAGACGGTTCCATGCCGATGAGGCTGTGAGTGGCTGTGGTCCCCGCGCGGCGTGGAGGCAGAGGGTCAGGGCACCTCCCTGCRGCGGAAGGTTCACGTCCACAGGAGGACGAGCCTCTGGGTCCGGTCTAGCTTGGCCGTGTGCATGGTCCAGAGGGCAGTGTGCCCTCAGCCTGCCGTGGAGGTGACTTAGGGACACTTTCTTATTGTGTTCCTGCTTATAATCTCAGTGGCGGGAATGAGGTCAGAACAAGTGGCCCTCGGTTTCCCCTGCCCTGGCCTTTCCCCGTCCCCTGGCCTTGCTCTGAGGCCCTGCTGCTTGGCGAACTCTCTGCTGCAGGTGGGCCTGGGGGCCCACCTGGCTGGGGGCCGGAGGTCCTGCCTCACCCTGCAGCCCTGTCCCAGCTGCTCCCAGGGCTCTGCCTGTGGCCCGGCTCCAGCACGGCCCTCCACGGGCTCTTCCCGCCTGGCCGGGCCCCTGGGGYGCTGGAGTCCTCCCTGGCAACGGCGTCTGTCTGTACCCCGTCTGTTCCATGCTGGTCCCTCGGCCGTCTGGCGCAGGCCACCAGCTGTGGTCCTGCCAGCTGCAGGTCCCGTTTCCCCCTCCCTCGGGTTTCATCTGCTGTTGCCACGTGAGGCTCCCGGAAGGTCCCCTCCTCCCGTGGGCCCAGGTCAGGATCTAGCATCCTGGGCGTCCTCCAGGGCTAGTCGCCGGCCCCGTGGACCTGAGGGGCCCTCCTCGCCCATGCTGAGTGGCCGGGTGCTGGCTCCGGGCTGGTGGGGTGCAGATGGCCGTGGCGCTCCCCTTTCTGGAGTGTGCCGGTGGGTCCCTGTGGTGAGCATCTCCCACTTGCTCTCCAGGGCTACGGGGACCATAAGCCCAAGTCTTCCACTGCGGCCCAAGAGGTGAGGACTCTGGACGGCATCTTCTCAGAACAGGTGAGCTCAGTGAGCCTGCTGTGCCCCTGGGTCTGCGGCGTGCTGAGCGACGKCTCCCTGGCCAGGTGTCCTGCCCTCACTCTGGCACGTCTGAGGGCTCGTGGCCGTTGGCAGGAGAGAAGTGCAGAAGAATGCTGGCCAGAAGGCCGGCGGCTGGCCTTTTCCTTGTGATACGCATACATTCAGCCACGTGACTCTGTCCCCAGGATGGGTGTGTGGCTCAGGCGACAGGCGCTGCTAGGCCAGGGTGGTGGGCAGATGGCAGCGCCAGGCCCGGCCTGTGGAGAGACACGGTGGGCGTGTGCCTCGCTCATGGTGGCATCGTGATCCAGGGAGGCGGGTGGAACAGGGAGCTGGGTCTCTGTGTCCCTGCCAGTCCCTGCCAGCAGGGCTCAGCGGGCCTCCTTCCATCTGGGCCTCCCCTGGCAGCCTGGAGGCCCACCCTGCAGGGACGCTGTCTTCAGGGTAGGAGGGGTTCCTCCCCATGCTGACCTCCTGGGCAGCCCACAGACCAACGTGCTGCTGTCCCTCGCCCCGTGCGTGTCTGCCCTGGCACAGCCAACCTGGTTTGTCCCTGCAGGTAGCCATGGGCTACTCACACTCCCTGGTGATCGCACGGGACGAGAGCGAGACCGAGAAGGAGAAGCTGAAGCGGCTTCCAGAGTACAACCCGCGCACGCTCTGAGGCGCCGCGGCCCGTGGCAGCCGTCACTCCACCTGCACTGGGACGGGAAGTCGGAGGAGGAATCAAAAGCAGAGTTGACCGAAGGTGCATTTTTGTTAGACTCCCCGAGGTTCCGTTTTCTACGTGATTCAACGTTAACTACCTTTTTCTGTTTGCTTTCCAAAGTGTTTTTTTCTCCCTTCGATGTTTAATTAAAATATTTGCTCATAGTTGACCTACCATTCCTACAAGAGAGGCAGAAACTTGAGCAATCTAGGTTTTTTAAGTTGTATTTCTCGTCCCTCCTAAACACAGCCCAGGCCCCCACTCCAGCTGTCCTTAGCCTTGTGATCCGCGGGGGYGCTGCCTGGGACAGGCAGCGCCACTTATTTACTCAGACAAAAAACGTCCCTCCTGGGAACCAGCAGCATCTAGACCAAGCCGTCCCGGAGACGGCCACCTCCCTCCAAACCATGCTCTCGTGCTTTGGATGCATCCGGGTCACTTGCCTGCTTTTTTTGCGCAGACTGGCTCAGGCCAGTGTGTGTGCCCCTCTGCTGCTTGTAGCCACAGCCTTGGGGTCTGTGTTTAGCCATTTATACCTACTCTAGCTGTTAAAAAAAAAAAAGTCCAAATGCAAATCAGGTGATCGTGGAACCGCGGGGACGTGGGGGGGGCAGAGGGGGACCGGCTGTGTTTGTTGAAGGGTCCAGCCTCATGGCTCCTGGGGGAGCCCAGGCCTGGTRTCACTAGCGCTCACCAATCAGAAGTCCTCAGCCAGAGCCGGCAGGGGAAGAGCGCTCTCCGGTCCCTGCAGAGGAAGTGCGCCGCCCGCGGCCTCGCACTCCGGGCCTGTCCTGGCTGCGCCCTGCCCAGGACGAGCCTGCGGGTTCCCGGACGCGGTTCTTCGGTTCCCCGCGCTCTTCAGTCACAGTTGCTGGGCTCTGGTACCAAATAGTCGGATTCCTGAAGAAGCCCTGCCCCGAGGGTCAGCCCAGGTGCCGGGACTGCCGCCCGCCTCCCCGTCAAGTGCCCTCTGCCGAGCCCGTCCCTGGTGGTGACTGCGGCGGGAGTTCCGAGGTGCCTTCCTGGACCCCTCCTCTCACTGGGACCCAAGCGAGGCGACAGCCCTGGCTGGCTCTTGGTTTCCAGAGGGTCTGGACTGGTTTGGGTGCTTTAAATAGATTTTTAGTCAGTGGTGCTCATGGGGCGAGGGGATGGAGGGGGGCCCGGAGCTGGTCGCACGCAGCCTTTGTTTTTGCTTCTTCTGTTGTCACCGTCTCGATGTTAAAATGCCAAAAATGATCTAGTTGTCGTTGATCTTCTTCCTGTCCTCCTACCCCAGTCGCTCCAGAAGTGACTTCTGCTCTTGTTGGGCATGGAAAATGTCTGTCCCAGCCAGTCCTGTGGCCTCGTGGGACATAAGCTTGTGTCGAAGACACGGGTCTGAGTTCACGCTCGTCCCTGCTGATCTGTGCTGGCCTGAGGTCCAGGGGACGGGCTCTGCTGACTGGCCTGATGTGTCCAAGTCACCCCCAGACGCCTTCCACTTGAGCCCTCTGTGCGTGGACCTAATCATTTCCCTGGACAAGTCTCTTTCCTGGTGTGTGGCTTGGGCATCTGTGCTCCTTGTACCCTGGAGGTCTTCCTGAGTTGTGTGGTCACCAAGAGGGACAAGGACACAGTAGGCTGGGAGCTGCCCTGTGCTGAGCTGGGCTCAGATCTTCAGGAACAAATCTAAAATCAGCAGCCCACCACCCTGTCCAGGGCCCCTTGCTGGGAGCCGGGCAGGAAAGGGGCCTTGCCGGGGAGGATGGTCCTGTGCCCTCTTGCACCCCTTCTCCTGATGTCGAATTGTCACATGAATTTCCTGGAGGGGACACCCCTTAGAGCAGGAGTTGGGGGCATCCTGCATGTCCAGAAGAGGGTGTAGAGTGGCCTGGGTGGGGACGCGCTTTGTGCTCCGTGGTCCTGAGAGCTTCCAGCGTCTCCTGTCGGGAAGGAGGGCTCTCGAGAAGAGGCGGAGGGTGAAGGGACCAGAGGACCGTGTGGTTTGGTCGAAGGTGCCTGGTTTAGTGCTGTAACTGTCTTATTTTTTTTTATATATATATTTCTTGGAGTAAGCATTTTAAATAAACGGCGTCGTGTTGACTCCGGCTTGGCGTTGGCATTTCTTTTTCGGGCAGAGGTGCGCTCCGGTCCCCCCTTCAGCTCCGTGTGTGCGGAACCCACCAGAGGCCGGGTTGGGAGGGGATGGGACGGTCCCTTGGGAGAGGTGGTTTATCTTGCTGGGATTGGATACGTGCTGCAGGCCGCGTGGCTGGCGTGTCCCTGGCACCTGGAGACGCGCAGACGGCCGCAGCTTGGCCTGATGCGCCTTCACTGCGGGCACAGTTCCCGCAGTTGCCGAGTAGAGTCCCTTACTGTGACGTGGGCTTTCCAGCCATCTCGCCCAGCTGTGGGGTGACGAAAGTGTCTGGGCCAGGTGGAGGGGGCAGGCTGGGCGTGCGAGGTGGGCTAATGGGCAGGTGTGGGAGGGCCAGGGGCTTGTCAGGGACATGGCCTCACTGGACGCCAAGGAGCAGGTGTGTCCACCTCCCAGACTCCGCCCGCAGCGACAGTGGCCATTGCCCCCTGGGGGGACCCAGGGCCAGGCCTGTGTTCCTCACCTCTGCCCTTCCCAGCTGCTCAGGCCACGTGGGAAGGGACGCAGGCCACCCCTCGGCCGCGCTGGAACCACTGAGCAGGGGCACCGTGATGCCTCCTGTGACCCACACCAGGAGTCCCGAGGTCGGCCGTCCCCTCCCCCCTTTCACAGAGGAAGGGGAGCGACAGACTGCACGGCTTCGGCCACCCTGGGGACCCTGTCAGCAGGCCCAGGGACACCCCTCCCCACCAGGGAGGCTGGCCCAGCTGACGTGGGGGGTGGAGGACAGGCCTGGGGCTCCGGGCCACAGAGCTGGTGTCTTGCCACCCGCCAGGCCGGCAGCCTCACACCCGTGCCCTCGCTGCTCCTTAGGGCCCTGGGGGGGACATGCAGTTGGGGACTTCCTGGCCCTGTCCAGTACTGCCCTTGGCCTGGGGCCCGAGTACATGGGGAGGGTGGGGACCTAAGAGAGGGTCACTCGGGACCTTTGTCACTATAGAGTGACAGTGCTAGACCAACCTCAGGAGCTGCCTCACGCGTTCACTTGGTGTGCGAGCCCAGGGGGCTGGGGTGGGGGCAACAGTCCCACAGCACTGGGGGCGGAACCCAGGGCCTCAGGCATGCCAGGCAGCTGCACCCCAGTTTCTCTTTAAATGTTTTAAAGGCAAAATGGAGGGCCCCCACCTGCCCTTCCCCACAGCATCAGGGCCGCCAGTGCACTCAACAGCTAGGGCTTTATTGGCACGGTCAACACTTGGCTGGAGGCGGTTTTCCACCTTCCTCTCCAAGGGGTTTGGGGCTGGTGGCATTTGCCACCCTACTGGGTCTGAGGGACAAGGGGAAGGGGCAGGGAAGGGGCATCGTTGGACTCTCCAGCCAGCCCCACGCTGGGCCAGGCCTGGGGCTAAGGCACCATCTTCCACCACTTGAAGTCAAAAGGCACCCGGAGGACGTTGGCACACGGGCAGAAGTCCCCCACCTCGGTGAGGTAGCAGTCGAAGTCGTCGATGAAGGTGCACGCGAGGCCCAGGGGCTCCAGCAGCAGGCGCACCTTCTCTTGCAGGCAGCAGATGCCCTTGATTTGGGGCCCGAAGGGCTTGGGGATCCCCAGGTTCATGTCCATCACGATCATGCACAGCTGTTGGAAAGACGGTCAGCAGGATGAGCGCCTTGGAGAAGGGCCCCGCCCCCGGGCCCGCAGCACACGGGGCGGGGATGGGGCAGCCCTCAGCGGCTGCGCTGGAGCAGGCTGGCAGGACCACGCCCTGCTCTCGGCCCTTCACCTGTCCACCTCAGGGACATCCCCCTTTCCACTTGGGCTTCCAGGGGCCCCGCTGTGTTTCTCAGTAGCAAGACCCGAGTTCTGCCCGGCCAGCTCCCCGCTCTCCTGCATTCGGACTCCGACCTTTTAGTCTGGGCTGTGCCGGGTTCCTGCTGCCCCTGCTAGAACTCTCCCCACACCCAGCCTGCCTGTCCACATCTGTCCACCTCTCCCACCTCAGCCCGCTCCTAGGGTTACATCAGACCCTGTTTCAGACGTGACCAAGTGTGGGGACTGCTGGATGGAGCAGGAGCCTCCTGTGACCGTCCCCACCCCTGTCCCACCCCACTGCAGTCTGACTCCAGGTGGCTGCTGCTCTGGACCCTGGGGAACGAGGACAGGAAGACCCTGCCCTAGCGCATCTTGCCCAAGGGCTGACTGTCAAGGGACCTTCTAGGGTTTGTCACTTCAGGTTGGGGAGGAAGAAGCTGAGGCCCAGGCAGCTCGTAGCCCAGAGTGCGACTCCTCACACGTGCCACGGCCTTTAGGCCCAGGTCACCGTCCTGGGACTGGGTTTCTGCTGTAATGGGCGAGAAGGGCCCCATCTCTTCTCATGGACACCCTTGTCCGCTGTGCCCCGACCCTGCAGCCCTGCAGCCCAGCACCGGGTCTGGTAAGGCACCACAGCACGGGCCAGACAGGCCCCCCGTGACAGGAGGCCCAGGTGCCCTGTGGTCCTCACCATGTTGGGGAAATAGGCCCTCGCAAGGAGTTTCGGGGTCTGCTGGTCAGAGGGGATGTTTGTCAGCCGCTCCAGGCAGAAGAGCTGGGGCACGTCGATGATGTCCTTCTCCCCCAGGCCCAGCTCCCTCTTCAGGATGGCTCTGTTCAGGTCGATGCACCTCTGGTTGGGGGGAGGGGGGAGACGTGAGCACCCCAGGACCCAGATGCCCACCTCCTCCTGTGCCAGAGCAGGAGCATGGCCTGAGGCACTGCCATCTCTGTCCCTTACTGTGCCAGCCTTCTGATCAAGGAGGGGCAGGGCTCAGGAAAGGCCTGGGCTCAAGAGGCCAGGCTCACACAGAGAGTCAGAGCTGGGACAGCTACTTGTGCTCCACTGTCACACGGCACCCTGGTCACTCAGCCCTGCCCAGAGGGGGGGACTTGGGCAATGCAGAGGGCAAGCAGGGGGACCCCAGGAGCTCTGCTCTTCCCGCTTCAGGAAGGGCCCTGAGCAGCCGTCCCCACCTGGGCACTTCCCTGCTTCAACCACCTGAGGCCTGGGCATGGCCCAGGTCACCATCCTGGGACGGTGACATAGGGCTCAGCTTCCCTCCTAGAAATGGGATACCCTCCCCCGGGGACTGGGTATCTGGTAGCCAGTAGTTCATACTCCTGAGAGCCGAGGCCCGGCTGCAGGCTGTAGCAGGAGCACCAGGAGCACGCAGAGGAGTGGGCGCGGCCTCCGCCTGCTCCCTGGGAAACAGCA